TAGCTACTAGTAGTTAGTAATGCCCTTGTTACTAGTAGCGATGCCCTGTTACTAGGAGCTTGTAGCTACTTGTAGTTAGTAATGCCATTGTTACTAGTAGCGTTTCCATTGTTACCAGTAGCTTCTAGCTACTAGTAGTTAGTAATGCCGTTGTTACTAGTAGCGATGCCCTTGTTACTCGTCTTCTCTACCTACTATATAGTAGTATTGCCTTTGTTGTTAGTAGCTTCTAGTATTTTTTTTGGTTCACTACAAGGCCATTGCCATTGCCATGCACGGCGCTCCAATCAATCTACCCTTCCAAATCTATCTGCACACCAAGTGTTGGAGAGTCTGTGGGCCAGGGAAATGCCAGTCCACCTTAGGAAAAATCCGCATGGCTAAGCCAATAGTGGTAACGCTCTTCAGCCAGGAATGTTGTTTTGCTGTTTTTGCTGGAGTTGGTTGATTTAGAATAAACACATGTGGGAGCGAAGGTTCACACAGGGCTCGAGCTTCGCATACAAACGAAGGAGAGCAAGAGCTGTCCATCAACACTTGGTTGAATGAACTTGATCAATCGCATGTGGACTTGGCATGCGCTGCACACAGCCTCCTGCGCATGGCTTTACGGCGAACAAATCCTCCGCCACCAACGACAACATGGCAGCGGTGCGCACTCTGCCTGATGAGGTTGCAACACGGCCACTATTTTCTGTCTCAAACGCGGCAACCACGCACGGTTTGCTCCGCATGCTAGACTGGCCCTTAAATAAGGTGTCATTCTCTTTTGAGGATCCCCTTGGCCCTGGGTCACAGAGTGGGGGTGTGCTGAAGACCTTGGAGCCCCGCTTTCCATAGATTTCCACTCAGTTCATTTCACATCAGTGCGGTACCTCGTTCATCAAGTGAGATCACCTGCAACTTGGAATCCAGCAATCAAAGACCAGTAACCAACTTTTGTTGAACAAATAAATTAGCCAAATTCTCAGAATGCTGGTTGCCAACACTTGTGATCAAAGACACCAATCTCCAGGAAGGTGTCAAATCACAACCAAATTGTTTGAGGATGTACTGCCAAGTGGAACATGAAGAGCTACCCCCGAACAGTGAGAGAAATAAACACAGCAGATGCCACGATCATGCTGGGACATTCCTTGAAGTCGCACGCCTTTGCATGGCCCTGCAGGATTCCAAACTCTTTTTGCTTGATGTGGCCCAGCGCATGCAATTTTGCTATGATGAGCAACTCTGCAGCAGCTATGCATTGATTTCATCCTTCCAGATGCAAGGTGAAGTTCCATATGCACTTTCAAGGATTCTGAGCAACGCCCACCAGCAGGATTTGTTTGTCAAGCTGGGCCTCATTGCTGCTTCGGCCACATCTCTATTGATCTATTGCAAACAATACTCATGATGCTGGCTGAGGACAGCGCAATGGAAACAATGTTATGCAGCAGTTGATTCCTTTATGGTTTCAATTCGAAGCATTGGCAATGGTCGAGTGATTGTTCATGAGAACTCAAAGTGTGTGAGAAGAGTGAACTTGAGGTTGCAGTGTTGGAGCTTGCATTGGCCCGGTTGCGATCATGGGCACACGAGATCCAGCCCAGAAATCCTCACCACGAGGTGCAAAGTGTGCGTGCGGTTTCCATACCCAAGCGCAGAAAGTGACTTGTGGACCAGGAAGGACGGCTTGTGTGGCATGACCACTACAGCGGTTTGTACCCTCCAGCACCTTGGCCTCCAAGTGTGAGTTCCTGCTGGCTCAAAAGCGTATGAGGAATTTATGAGGTCCATGCAAACAGTCTTGGTGACTTAGGTGAATTACGCTGAGCAATTTGACTCTCTGAAGCACACCAGGCTCACGAATCTTATGTAGATTTGGCTCCCTCCTTGTTTGGCCTTTTTTTTCATGTTTTTTTCCCGCTCGTACTGTATTATACTCAGCGAAGTTAGCTAATTACTAGCAAACTAGGAAGCTACTACATACTGGATGCAGTATAGCGCACTAATGATTTGGTTCCTAGATTTTTAGGGGAACTTAACTTAAAGTGGCCATGTCGGTTGCTGAACCAGGTTTCAAGAAGGGGTTGCCTTGCCCCTCGCATTCATGTTCTTTGCGGCAGCTGCATGCTTGCACAGTGCCCGTTCATTCTTCTATAATATATGGTTCGAAATCGCATTCACCTTCCAAGTTGTCGGGATTGTGTGAGTGTCCTTCCTATATTGCCGATACAGCGAATGCAGAATCAATGTTGTGCTGAAGGTGTTCGATGCAATCAATCATTGTACCTCGCAGGCCAACTCGATTCATATATATATATATTTGTTCATAGAAAACACTTATATGCAGTGTTGTCAATCTCCCCTTTATTTTGGAATTGGTCACAGATCGGCTGGATTCAGAGATATGCAATTGCCTTAGTCGCCAGTTCTTTTGGGCAGTTGCCTGCAGTGAGCATCGCTGTTGTTTCGGAGTTTGTTCATTCTTGAGTTGCTCCGTCCTCCTATATGTCAGAGCCTTCCTGACCCAAAAGATGAAGCCAGAAAAAATATCAAAGCGTCGCAAACGAAGTCCTGAAGCTAGGTGTAGTGTCCACGATGTCCACGACAAAGTCAAAGTGCGAACCACAAGGTTGCGTTTTCATGCACGAACGAAAGGTGTCGTACACCCAAGGGCCCTCGTGGACCGAGACACAGCGGAAAGGAACGAAATCGGACATGTGACATGGTTGACACTGTGTGTGTGTGTGTGTCCACCCCTGGACAAAGGGTTTTCCACCGCCACTCTTTTCACCGTTTTTCCACCACTTTCCACACGCAGGGGGCAGAGGGATCTCCAGTCGTGGCCTCTGCCAACGAAGCTCCACACTGGACGATCAGGAAAACGTACCTGCGCCGTGACACTACTCCACTTTTCCGCGCTGTGTTTTGATGCCATGGTTGTTGATCACGATACTCTCCCCTAAAACAGGTTTCCCACAGCTGCTTTCAGCCGACCGCGCGAGCGTTTGCCACTGCAGTCACGCACAAACAACTTGTTCAACTTTCAAGTGAACTGACTTTCTCGCCATGCTGTTCCTTCACCATTTTCGACCTGGGAACTGAGTTAACTGAATACAAGTGTCAGAGTGTGTCTCGCTCAGCCGTCCCACTCGGGTGCTGAGTGTGATCCCAGTCACAGGGGCGCTGTTTTTGCATGGGAAAGCAACAATCACAAAGCACCACTACTCATCGGACCCTCACAGGCAGACACCGACACCCTCACCGAATCAACTGATACACTGGCCGCCGGGCCCAAAAACGGTTACTTTCGAATACATCAGATTTCGGATCCATCATGCATGTTGTTTTTCCACATGTTGCAATTTTAGATTAATGCGTCTTGCACATGGTTTTCTGCATGCTGTGCCTTTTTGATTTGACGGCTAAGTATTCACATGCATGCGCTGCTAAGTATTCACAGGCCGGCTTTCTGCATGTTGTGCCTTTTTGACTTGACGGCTAAGTATTCACATGCATGAGCTGCTAAGTATTCACAGGCCGGACGAATTCATCATGCATTCCCCTCCCTACCCCCAGGCCTCCGTTGCTATCCCATCCGCTACTCGGGAAACAGAAGGAAATCGCACTCAACACACTTGTGTGTTGGTGCCTTTCCTTCTGTTTCTCCTAGCCTATTGCTAGCTACCCGGGCGGTTTAAGACGAATGTCCCGCTCGCGTTCTACTTTCATTTAATTAAGTGGGCCTCGTAACTACTCCTATCTTTCTTTCTTGCCCTCTTAGTCTGCTTTTGTTTTGTTTGTTTTCTCTGTCTTTCTAAGGCTTTTTAGGTGGCTATTAGTTTTGACAAAGCACGCCTGCCACCGTTTTTTGGAAAAAGCGCCGACAACGGCGACCTGTGTGTGTCCACCCCTGGACAAAGGGTTTTCCACCGCCACTCTTTTCACCGTTTTTCCACCACTTTCCACACGCAGGGGGCAGAGGGATCTCCAGTCGTGGCCTCTGCCAACGAAGCTCCACACTGGACGATCAGGAAAACGTACCTGCGCCGTGACACTACTCCACTTTTCCGCGCTGTGTTTTGATGCCATGGTTGTTGATCACGATACTCTCCCCTAAAACAGGTTTCCCACAGCTGCTTTCAGCCGACCGCGCGAGCGTTTGCCACTGCAGTCACGCACAAACAACTTGTTCAACTTTCAAGTGAACTGACTTTCTCGCCATGCTGTTCCTTCACCATTTTCGACCTGGGAACTGAGTTAACTGAATACAAGTGTCAGAGTGTGTGTTAAATGCATTGACAAAAAGAACATGGAATTACTTTACCCCGAGTGATCCCCACCATGACATTTCAATATGACCGATTTTCTGGTGTGTATTGAAACACTATTTTGGCATTCTTTCAGGCATATCTTCTGACACTCTTTCTGACATTCTTTCTGGCGTTCTATCTGGCATATCTTTTGACTCGCGGTTGAGGTCCGGCGGGGAACACTGCCAGCCGAAGCTCGCGGCGGAGGTCCTCCAAAGTGAAGTAGTTGCGCACAGGATCAGACAGGGCCTGGATCTTATTTTGAATAGTGGCATAGAACATGGTGTTGGCAGCCTCATTGTCGGGGTCGCCTTTGTGTGCGCAAATGCGTTACTCCAAATCTGGTGGCCACAAAACAATGTAGACCGCGAAGACTGCGACTCACCGCAGGAAAATCCGATACGGTAGACATTTTACTCCTGAAAGCCAACCCAGGAAGTGCTTGAAGCACAGTCCCAGCTGGCCCATTCTGCTGGTTCCTTGCTCCTTCTTTTGGGTGTGCACACGGGGCACGCAGCTTGCTGCCCCTAACTACGAAGGAGGCATTTTGCAACTCATGCTTAAATCATTTCAAAACAATGCGCGAAGCACCAAGACTTGTCCATCGGACCAACATGAGGCATCAGATGTGTGCGGCTATGCAACGCTTGCTCTAGCATCAACAGTGCGATGTCAAGTTATTGAACCGGCTGGCTACGTGCCTTTTCGGCCAACTGTCTTGCACATGGGATTCGTCTTTGGCCTTCAAAGTCTTCGTGACAGTTCAGGACCTGTCGGACAATTCCCCATTTGTGCACAAACGTTCATGTCCCTTGGTGTCCTTTGCTTGTCGGCTGACTGGTGGCCACCTTCGCATGACCTGCGGGTGGGACCGCAGAAAGAAGAGCAAACTTGTTTATGTTCCTTCCTTCTTTACTCATAGCAAAGCCTAGATACGTGGGTTTGTTTATATATTTATACAGCATGTTTTCATACATGTTGGCTTCGAGTCCCACATTCAACTTTCCTATCGGTCCGGCTTGGCGCCTGCTAAGAATATGAGGGCAGTTGACGAAGTTAACAAACCTCAATGTTCAATCAGTGCATCTTTGCGAAGCGCGCTGGACAAAGCTTGCGTTCAATTTAAAACCTCTTGCACTTCGCTCTCTGCGCTTTGTAGATTCAAGGGAAGTGGTGGGAGGGTTTCTCTCTTTAGTTAAAGTTTGTTATTGCCGCAGTGAAAAAGCCATGCATGAAAAACTTCTTTGCAACGGCGAAGATGAAGGTGAAGGCCTAAGTGAAGCTGAGGTTGTAGTATGTAGTTACTCCCGCGCCTGAGGAGCATACTCGCCCTCTTGACCCTGGACCAGATTTGGATCGTCTCTTTGCGGAGGACAACATTGATCATGGTAATCCAGTTGAACCTGGAGAGGACTTGAGTCACCTGGGTCACTTCTGTCTGGAGCGCGACATTGATCCTGACGATGAAGCCAGAGGTGAGGAAGAACGATGCGACAACCGTGGGTGTGAGGATGAAGAGGATGATTGAGCTGAGACCGAAGAACTGAGAACTTTTTAAGAGGGTGGAGAAGAAAGGCACGCCAGGTTCATCTTCAAGCAAGGCAGCGAGCGTGGCGACTGGCGCCATGCCTTTGTTACCCTGGCAGCAGGGCGCGCGTGGACATCTTCTCGAATGAGTCTAACTTTGGGTTTTTCTTCCAGGCCGCGAGCAACGCAAACAACCACAGTTTGAAACCTGGCCAGCAGCCACATCTGGGCACGCCCATCTTTGCCAGACATGTCAGACTCGGGTGGGCTAAGGCGCAACAGAGAATTGCGGCTTCATCAAGATCGGGAGTGAGCATCACTTCATTTTCGCGAGGCTTGCAGGGCTAGACCCCCGGAGACTGTTCTCCAACGAGGAAGGACCTCAAGTGGTTAGAGCGGAAAAAATCAAATTCATTGGGGAAGAACCTGGCGCGTTCACCGCCGAGTTTGGGATTTGGCCATGTGAGGGTCTCGCTCGGGCTCCCACGGCGTTGGAGATGAAAAGCCTTCAAGGATTGAAAAGCCCGCGCAGAATGTGTATGTTGGTCAAACGCGTCGTGTGCCCAGGCCTTCTTCTTCGACGTCGAGCGCGGAGAAGAGTAACAAGAACAAGGGTCCACGAGACTAATGGGTGGAAGGCCACGCGCATGCCCTTCAGAGTGGTGGGCCCACGGACGGAAGGACCTTGGAAGAGCTTCTTCTTGGCGCTGAGCCACAAGGACGGCTTCACAAAAAGAACCTTGTCCTACCTGGGAATCGGTCCTACCAGGCGCGCAAGGACTTCTTCTGTTCGCCATCGCGCTTCACGAGCGCATTGTACAAGCGCAGAGTTCTGCATCCTTCATTATTGCGCCGTGGCGCTTCTTAGAAGCTTCTGTCCATTCCACCTCCATAAGACGGACTCATCCAAACCCTGTAGCGAGTTAGACGCTAAGCTTTACTATTGGCCAGGGTAACTTGCGCGTGGATGCTTAATGATGACGGCGGCAGGACAAGGTTTGGCCACGTGTGCCTTCGGCATGACCCCCCACTCCACCCTCAGTTTTGACGCGGTCGAAATTCAAGGCAGGATAACTGGGTCCGATCTGTCCGTTTTCATTGCGTTGAGCGTTGCAGCGTGCAGAATGACCTACCAGAGATCCCGGTGGGTTGTTTCAACGAGTGCTTTCCAAAGCAAACGGGTTGGAGGTGGACTAGAAAACAGTCCGGATTTGTCAGGCGTCGGCAGGTCAAGCCTGGCTAGATCAAAAGTTCCCGACCGCGGGCAGACTAGTGACTAGAACTCTCTGTGGCGCCTTCAAAAACTACCAGAACAGCCATATATTATTGTAGAACAGTTTTAAAGTTTAGTTTGCGTATGTTTTCAGTCAAGAGCGGCTGAGGCGTGGCACCCACTATCGAACCCCAGACTGAGAAGGAGCAAGAGGCTGACGGCGCCTGGCTTCAGAGCGCTCACAAAAAAGCTTCAGCTAGCGCTGCGACAGAAGTTGCGTCGCCCACAGCTGCTGCGCCTTTCACTCCAGCGCCTTCAGCTCCAACCCCCTGCAATTTTGTCCCGAAGGGCTAAGAACGCTAAGAACGGAAGGCGGGGGGCTGGCCAGCTTTAGATCTTTCAACTGCGCGCGGTAAAGGGCCAGCCTGCGCATCTTTTACACGCATGTAATCGGGCGGCCCCGACTGCTCGCCAATCCAAGAGGAAGAGGCGCTCGGGCGCAATGCGCCAAACACAATCGGCTCAAGAGATTTGCGCCAGCTTCAGAGGAAGTGTAGAAGGAAGCAAGGAGATATAGGTGCAGTTGCAGTACTCCATCTTTTCTTGCCTTAGGACTGACGCGCAACTGACGCCAGCTTGGACGGCCTTGGAAGAGTTCGGTTGAATCAGGCTGGCGCCGTGGCGGCCAGGTCAACGCAGACTTCTGTGGTTCCTTCATGGCTCAGGATCATGGGCAGGCAATGAGCTTTCGCTGTGCTTGTGACCTTTTTTTGCGCGGGGCGGCGCCTAGTTGGGTTCCTCGACAATCAAGAATCGAGGTTTGTTGTCTGTAGGGATACTTGAGTGATCAAACAGAAGCCAGGATTGTGTGTGAAGTGTTTCTTCTTGAGGAAGAGAGGTGTAACTGGCCTGGTGCGCTAGAGTGCCAACTGAAGCAAACGTTAACGTTGCTCAAGAAGCGTCTGAGATATATTGCCTGCACACCCGAGCAGGCCAGTCCACTCTTTCACAAGCATCCTTGCCTCAGCTAGGGGCCTCGAAGGTATTATCGCCCATTTAGAAGAAAGGGGAGTGTGGCCAAGGGCCGACACCTAACACGCCCCACTTGCTATGAAAAGCAGCCTTTGCAGTGTCTCAGCGCACAATGTGGGGTTTTCAAGTGAGCGCGCCGAGTCAGAAAAGGAGGGCAACTATTCAACTTACAATGTTTGACCGTCTCCTTTTCAGCCTATACTCTTCAATTATGTTGTGTGCGTGTGGCATGGACCTGGCAAAGTGGACAGCGTGTTCATTTCTGATTCACGACCCCCTTCGGTGATTGTGCCTTTGAAGCGAGCAAATGAGATTTCATGTGACTGAATAGATGCCCCAGGCAGACTAGTGCCTTAAAAATCCAAATTTCAATGCCCCGGTCAACTTGCACACACCTTTTCAAGTATGTGGTCGCGCGAAGTCATGTTTCATGAGTGCCTCAAACCAGTGTCAAGGATTTGCAATGGCGCTTGGCCCTTGAGCAACCAGGCAGTGATTTTGGTCAAGAGCTGCTTGGAGAAAGTTGACTTTGCGCGAAGCCTCGTTTTTGCATAAGAATGATTGCAAAGTGGAGACTGGCCTCGCTTCAACAATGGCGCAAACCCAGAACATATGATTAAAGATTCACGGCGGCGCGAGTGTTGCCATGGTACACACAAGACAGTTTGTGTTTCCATGAGATGTCCTCCATGCGATGCTGGGAACCAACAGCGCAACGCATCACGCATATCGCAACAAATTCAAATCCTGTCATCAAATTTTGCGCAAAGCAAACTATGTTGTCGGTCGACGACATTAAAATAACACGCAGAGAAACCACCATGTCTACTAACCCAAATATTTATGAAGTGCACCTCGTTAGACATTGTTTCTAAGGTTTGACGGGGTGAGGCAAAATCAAATGAATGGACCAAGGTCCAGTGTCAGACTGGACAACTGCTCAATGAACGACTCCCGATTCAATTTGGCCGATCCTGACGAATTATTGATGACTGTATGGTTCCACCAGTCTTGCACCATCTATTCTGTGCTTGGCAGGGGGTATTCGAAAAGCCAGGGTTGTGCCACGCAAGGATATGATTGCGTCCACCTTCGGACGGCAAAACTTTCTTTATTGCAATGAGTCTGCTCGTGAAGTGCATGAGAGCCTCTAGCCAGATGACTTGTTGCGGCGTGTGTCAACAAAGGCAAGAGAGGATCAAGATGGACAAAGCATGTTGGAAATGCATGCTGCTCAAGCTGCTGAGGCTTGGAGCGGGGCATCTCGCAGCAAAATATTGTCACATTGGATATCTCTCGCTTCATGGGCGCAACTGCCCTTGATGTGGGCTGCGGCGCTTGACTCACAAGCACGACACGAAACGTGTCTTAAGTTTCAAACAAAACACTTGAGCAAGCTCGATAGCAAGTTGCAACAAATGAAAGGAAACGAGATGAGATGACGTGAGGCTTCGGTCGGTGGACTGCCATGCTGCAGCACATTGGTGCCAAAGTCACTTCAGTTGATGCGTCGCCACATGCTGTCATATCCACGCGGCGCTTCAACCCAGACACTCACCAGATGCGACTTGGAAAGCTCATACGTTGAGTTTGTGTTCGACTGATAGCCTTTTCCTGAAGAGTCCAAGAGGAAAACAGAGACAAGTCTGTCAGGACGCTCTTTGAGCTTCCTACCCTGGAGAATTTTGAGGCGCCCAGCAGCTTCTCACATGTCACCACTAAGAACTTAGAACATGTTGCCTGTCATGTCCTTTGCACCCAGTGGATCCCTGTATTTGAATTCACCGTAACTCACCCCATTGAATTGAACCCAACAAATTTCAAAAAGTCGCAGGCAGGCTTCGACACGGTGATTTGCTGGGGTGTGCTTCACCACACCCATGACCCATACAAAGGCCCGTGGAGATCGCGCTTCAATTGCGAATACTTCCAGCTGTCTTCTTGAAAAGCAGGTTTCAAGATCGTGGCTTCTGCCCTTCGAGAAGGTGGTTTTCTATTTATACAGGCTTGTAATGAGATCTCGCACCTGCGAAAACCAAGCAAGGCTGAAGCTGTGTGCTTTTGTTTTAGCGCCGCCTTGTTCTCTTGCAGGTGTACAATGACCGGGCGAAGGCAGGCTTTCACTACACGTCCCAGCCTTATGAGCATGGTAGAAAACGATGTCAAGTAACATTGAGCAATGGTGAGGTATAAAACTAGAGAAAAGGATCAAGGGAGCCACGAAAGTAATTAATCCGCGAAAGGTATACTAGCATTAATTACTAGTGTTACTAATATACATGTATACTTATTATGTAGAGATGCGCAATCAAAGAGTAAAGAAAAGACAGAAAGGCGGAGCAGTGTTAAACATGTAGAGAACAGTGGAGACGAGTAATGACAAGATATATACTGTATATATATATATCTGCAAGGCAATGCGGAGAAAAAGAGACCGAAGCAAAGATAATTGATACGTAAAAGGAGAGCAAGCAAGCGCGAGGGAAAGAGAGAGGATAGAGAGGCGGGTAGAGCCAGCTCCAAACTTACCCAACTCACCACAGTGCCACTGCTGATGCAAGCGCTTGAGTTTTTTCCAAGGAAACGTCCAAATCACCCGGTCTCACGGTATAGAATCAAACCGGCGTTAAGGCAATCTTTCCGGACACGCTTTCACCAGCTCAAAACCATTGATGAGAAGGTCCACTTCCTCAGGCCGCTCAGCCCCAAAGACGTGGTCTTTGCCCTTTGCCAAAAGGATTGAATTGAAGGCATTTCAAATTCAATTTCATCCTTTCCTCAAAGACATTGAAATGAAGTGTAGTCTAAAGACTGACTGGAGTCTTGATTCCCATGGGTCCAGTAGTGGTCTGTTGTCGTCAACATACTTGTAAAACGAGAGTCTTTGTTCCTGAAGGCTGCTTCTGAGTTTTGTTGTTTTTCAAACAAATGCATTGCCTTTGATTCTACTCTAATTCACCACTCTTTGAGTTCAAACCCTCAACGTCTCTATACATACATACATATATATATATACATTTGCTCAACAACCTATCGAAGCCACCCTGGCCTTCGATAATGGTAGCTGAGACTGACGGTGATTGGGCTCACTCAAATTGGAAAAGACAATGCAACAACTTGTAGATTCGCTGAAGCCCTGCTTCCCTGTTCTTCCAACGAACACTTGCTCAAGAATCCCTGTTCTTGAAGGCACCACAACCACGGCAAGAGACTTCCCGGTCTCTATGGCTCAAGGCGAACCACCCTTCCCACCTGCACTTCAGTAAAATGGCAAAGAGGTGGAACATGTGACATGGCTTCCTCAACATCGACCGGCAAATTCGACATACCCTCTATTTTCTACTTTGTCGAACACGTTCCCCGTTGCAGGTGCGCTCAAAGAAACAAAAAGCCATGCTCTGAACAAAAACATGCAGTCTTGATTGGATGCTCTGCTGGGTATGTGCAAGACATCCCCATAGAGAAGTCCATGGAAGCGTTTGAGAATCCCAACTTTCTCAAGATCTATTTCCAGTGACGGCGCTTCTCTTGTTTGCTCTTTGAAGGCTTTTGCCAAAAAGGGCACTTGAATTATTTGGGATGTGGGCGGCTCTCATTCTATCAGCTTGCAGTCAATGAGGACGTCTTGGCTTTTCCCCATTGATCTACAGGCTGTGCTCCGGAGAGATGACTTTGGATCCGCTTGAGTCGAGCTTTTCGATCGGATCGGTTTCGCGAGATTTTCTTCATCTTGGAGTTGGTATCGCCCTACGTTCATCACTTCTCACTCGCACCTTGGAGGTGTCCATTACTTTCGTGAGGCTGTCGGCGATTTGGGCATTGGATGGTACCCCACAAACTGCTACCCCTGTGGATAGGTGCTCTTTGATCAATCGTGCTTGTAGCAAAGTTCTGAACTCTTGGCATGCCGGAGGAGCTGTCCTGCTTACTAAATCAAAACGGCTCTTACAATCTGTGGCTACAATGGAGTCTTGTTTCCCAATGATGGTCAATTCATCAGATTCTCACTTAGAGATTGGTTCGGATCCTTCAGAACAGTTTCAGGTTTTGTCTCCAAGTTGGCAGCTTTGATCTAGCAATATGGTCAAATGCGCCTACGGTCGATGTGTATAGCTTGGGTTGTTTGGTTGCAGCGCGCACCGCATTTTGCTCACAAAGCGTTCGATTACTTATTCATATTTCTTGCCCACGCGGAAACAAAGTTTAGGCGCGCATCATCATTGACATTGAGCTAGTGAGCGGAAGCAGGGCCAGCCACGAGCTGGCAGCTGGCAGCTGAGTGCAAGAACATGTTTGCGCGCAGGCCTCGGGCCGCATGACTGAGAGGATAAAGCAGGATGCAGCGCTGAAACTAACCGGTCTAGAGTCAACAGGGCGCATGTTGTCAGAAAACCATCAACACCGACCCAAATTTAACCAAAAAAATGCAAAAAATCAAACGAAGTGCGAACGAACTACCAACGGTGAAGGAAACCGTCTGAAACAGGCAAAAAGCAAAAGAAAATCGCTGGCAATCATGAAGACGCTAAAAAACTTACAAAACGGTTTAAAAAAAGCAAGAATCAGCCCAAATCTTCCCAACAGGCGTGCCAACATGGAAAATGCTTTGGAAAATGACGAATTCAACCAACACCAACAAACATTGAAAAGTATGCAGCAAAGATGCAAACTGCAAAGGAAGGCTGCATTTCTACAAAAAACAATTTAAAACCATCTACCTGCGCGTAAAAAGTAGACTGACAGAAACATAGAGGCCCGCGACAACCCCTCGACCTTCCCTCGCGCGTTTTCAGCGCTCTGTCATAAAACGCAATGCTCAGACCATGTCCAGCACCCAGTTGCAAAACGCAAGTAAAATTGTCAAGTCCAGCGTAGAATGCCAAAATAAGTTGTTAAAAGTAGTTCAAGAGGAAAAATATCGCAGAAGATCCAAACCCGTATCAAAACAGCAGTTTCTCGTCGGGAAGCACTAGCAAAAGGCAAAACAAGCGTCGACAAGCATCTTTGGTCAGAAATCATTCTATTCCGATCCCACAAAACGATTGCCGTCAGGAAAGAACACGAAGAACAATATTTCACGGGCAAGCGGGCAAGGGATGTAGCTGAAGCACAGTTCTGGTTTTTGTTCCCCAACCACGCCATGGGAGCCGATGGCCCAACGCAAGCGCAAAGTTATATAGTTGCGCACCCTTTAGAGGTGGACTACCTCGCTAACTTCTGCCCCGATGGCCTTGCGCCGGTTGGCTTTCCAAGCAGATCCTTCGCTCTGACAAGCCATTTTGCCAGCGATTTTGTGGGTCAAGGCCGGACCTTGCGGCGGATGGTGGTACAGCAAATGGTCTTTTCGTGGAAGCTCCCTAAAAATGAGTTGTGGCCTGTTCATTGAAGCGTCCTCGGCAAAAGGTGCTTGAGCGGTAAAAGAGCTCTATTCTTTGCAAACGCAACATTCTTGACTTCCTGATTTTGATGCTGAATTTAGGCTTTTGTATTCTTGGCCGTACAGACCTGACAACTCCAGTCACTCTATGCCGAAACCCAAGCGCAACCATATCCAGATGGTGATGTTGACGCTAAGTTGCTGATTTCTGCCTGAGGCATGTGCGTCGTGAGGTTGCGGCAGCGTGCGGCATGTGTGTAGTCGGGCAATAGAACCTTTTGCGGCCTCCCAGCCGGCCAGAGTGAAGCTAGTAACCTGTATCTTGTTTCTCATTTACCTGCCCATGATCATGTTCTAGAGGATGGATGCTCTTCAGTGGACGAGACGGCATTGGTGGTTCTTCTACAGGACTTTTCTGTCCTGGGTTTTCCACCGAATACTCCACCTTGCAAAAATGGTCAAGCCACATCTTGACGAGGCACAGCTTCTCTGCTCTTCTGATCTAAACGCCGACGCTTGGTCGGATGATCGTCATCCTCTGCTGCAAAGATTCCCAGAGGACCGGATGTCTCCCGCCGAAGGCTTTGGACAATTTGTCGCGCAAACTTTCTGGCGTACAGTTCTGTAAATGTGACAACGAAGTGGAAGTTGCCTGAACTCCCTGAACTCTTGTGGGTCCTGCTATTTGATAATGCTCATGTTCTTCTTGACATTTCCTGTTGTGCAAATTGAAATACAGGTGTTTCGATGTAGTGCACACTATGAGTCGTTTGCGTATTGGCTCCTGAGAGATCGGCTCCCTGAGATGCCCGACGCGGCGCATGTAAAAAGCGCTTGGCTTCGCGACGCGCGCAATAGGTTGAAAACACGGGCTTTAACATGTGTGACCCCTGCGGTTGCTCGCAATGAAGACGCTTTTGTCTAGAAACTTGATGATCACACAGGAATCGCGCCAAGCTGATTTGCCAAAGATTGTCTTTCCGGTCTTGAAGGATTTTGTTTCGAAGCTCAGCGCTTACATTGGCGCCAGGGTCCGCAGGTGGGGCTAATCCGAATCCAAATGTGCTCTGGATTATCACGAGCAAGATGACGAAAAAAGAGTTCCGTCGCCCTTCGCGGCCGCTCAGGTCACCCTCGGCAAAACCAAAAAGCTTGGCTGTCAAGCCCTGCTGCACGCTTTGTCGAGTGAGTTCACTGTCTTGGGACGAATGAGGTTGGCAATTTGTTGAAGCTCTTGTCGATAGACCTGGAGGAATCGATTGCATGTTCGGGAATAGACTTGTGAGTCCTGACCTTCAAAAATCCAAAGGGCAGAGATGCTTCTCCCAAGAGACAGTTGATCTCACTAGACAGACTTGCTCGATGAGGCGGTGATTCACTTCGGATCCTCTTTGGCCAGGATGCAAGGACCCTGGGGCTCGGAGGTCGTAGTTCCCCTCTGGGGTCATCTGGGTCAGGGCATTCTCGACGCGACTCATCCTGAGATCTTGGCGCTCCTGATCAGCTAGGATCTCTTCGATCCTCGACGTCCCAACTCGCTCACTCCACTGGAAGGGCCATGGGAGACCCCTGTCGGGCACCTGGGCGCACATAGGCGTCGGTGTTGATCTTGGCGTTGCTGGATTGGCCCTGGACTTGAGGTACTTCGCTAAAACGAGGAGTCGCGAATTTGAGGAACTTCAGACGCTCGATCTTCTGGCTGTGTTCGTAATGGCTCACAAACCACTTGGCCCAGCTTTGGTCTTGAAAGGCTTCAGCTCTTCCCAATGGCGATCGGCGCCTTCTGCAATTCGGCTAGGGTGAGTTGCTCGAGTTCCTGACGTTCGTCCCGTGCATTCTCCTTCTTGATGTTCTCCTGGAATTGAGCGAGTTTCTTGCTCAGACTGGACATCTCTCCACGAGAGCTTGAGTGCTTCGGGCTCTCGAATGACTCTGGCTGATCTGCATTAAGCGGTTGGTTCACCTTCGAAACGGCTGACTCTGGATTCAAACTGCTATATCGAAAAGCTGTTTCGTTTCCAGTCTGGATGTTTCTGCAGCAGGTGTTGACTTTGGCAGACCCTGAAGGTGTCTGGAATCGAATGAGTCTGGTCGGACTCCTGTACCTGCGCAATGTCTTGGACACGCGAAACCTCCTGTTGCCATGGCTGGTTGATATCCAGTAACATCGGATTGGATGCGCTCTACAAAGTTAACTTGCCAGCGTCAATCACGGCTTGAATGGTCCTCAGAAATGCACTTGACATAGGACTCTGGCCAGGCGCGATCGGGATCCGAAACCATGCCTTGCGCACTGGGAAAACGAGGGCCACTTTGCTGGTCAGCGTCTGGTGATTGCCGAAGTGGAAAACTAAGTTGCGATCAACCTTTTTGACACGAGCTCGAATCTCTGTTGGGAGGTTGTTCAGCAATTCAGGAACTTGTTTATCCCCCATGACCGTTTGTAAGGCGTCCAAATCAGCAACACCGATAGGTCCTGAAGATGCAAAACAAACGCTTTCTTCATGCGCAGATCGAATTCCGTGACCGGTGCGATGGCCATTTCGCGAAATTTCCGGCGGTTCTCAAGCGCTAGCGTGGCAAACTTCTTCCTTAGTCCGACAAGTTGGCCGAGGCGAGTTTTCAGTACTTGAAAGGACACGGACCGCGCTGGAAAAAGACGACGAAACATTGTTCGACTTGGCTTGCCTGAGACTCTGCGCTTGCCGTTGGAAGAACTGCTCGACTTTCTGAATGTGGATGGTGCTGAAATTTCACAGATCACTTTTCCCCTACCAATCCACAATCTCGTTGAGGCAGGATTCCAAGTCAACCACCAATGAGGTGGAGATCTGGTTGGCTTCTGAGCCACTGGAGGTCTTGTATAGTGTAGGTCGAGCGCCCGGCTTTCCAATGGACAGTTGATGAAGCGAGACTTCAAGCCAATCCCTTTGGCTTTCCTTTGAAACCTTTTCCACTTCCGACCTGTTCATCCTGCTCTTCTACCCCAAAAGCAAGGTGGTCGTAGGTCTTGAGAGACTTGTCACGTGCATTCCTGAAAGAAGGATAAGCCCAACATTCCGATTGCAGCGGAGACTTTCATGTTCAGCCCCCGACTCCACGACAACACGCTTATTGTTTTCCTGGGCCAGCTTGCTGCCTCGGAGGGTCACTGACATAGGCTTGCACCTCTGCGAGATTGATCTTTTTCACGAGGAGCTCTGTCCAAACAACTTCGGATCGCGCCAAGTAGGAATCGGCGCTCTCATCCTGCTTCTGACTGCAACAAAAAAGGGCCTTCTCCACGATGTCGAAATTCTGTTCAAGGCTAACCGCCAAATTTGCCTCCAACAATCTCAACAATTTGGGAGCCGCTCTCAACTGCTCCAGCCAAAAGATCTTTCTTCCTCAACTGTAACTTGGCGAACGCCGAGCCCTTACAATTGAGGATGATGTGGGTTGCCACAGTTCGCTCAATCGGCTTTCTGGCCATACCTGAGTCAGTAGTTCAATCTTCTGTGCCCATTCCTCAACGTTGTCCGTCGATGGATCAAACGAAGGGACCAATGAAGCTAACTGACTATTGGTCGAGGGTCCAATTTCCAAAATGGTGGATACGCTGCCTTTGCCTGTGGCAGTCCAACAACAAACGAGATCGTCGCGAACCACCCAGGTTTTCGATAATGGTAGCTGAGACTGACGGCGATTGGGCTCACTCAAATTGGAAAAGACAACGCAACAACTTGTAAATTTCCTGAAGCCCTGCTTCCCTTCCAAAAGTGAGCCCCGCTTACTGCCGACACTTGTTTTCACACTCCGGGTGCCCTGCGCTCAAATCCAACGAACACTTGCTCAAGAATCCCTGTTCTTGAAGGCACCACAACCACGGCAAGAGACTCCCCGGTCTCTATGGCTCAAGGCGAACCACCCTTCCCACCCGCACTTCAGTAAAATGGCAAAGAGGTGGAACATGTGACATGGCTTCCTCAAGATCGACCGGCGAATTCGACAACAACCGTTTCCTTGTAGAAGTGCATCATGGATCATCATATGTTCCCACTGCCACTTTGCCACCAAGATCAGCCCAGATATTGCCAATTGTTCATCCACTGAGTGACTGGTTGGTAGAGCGACTAAGCGGTAGTTTTCCTTTGAAGCATGCGAAGCGAGGAAGACTCATAGAGCCGCTGGTGCAGCCTCTTGGCGTGAAGTTTCCTGGTCATATGTTTATTTGTTCCACTTTTTGCAGTTGCGGATGCTTCTGGGTGCGAAGGTGTGCGCGAGTCGGTCCAAAGGTCTCAAACCGATCGCTTGACTGAGTTGCGCAGATGCATGCTCACAAGTAAACGGTGGCGACATCACAGCATATTTGACGAAGGTTGTGTTGTGGCACAGCTCACGCTACTGGTAGAATGCTTCAGTCTCCCATTCCGAGAGTCAGGCCCTGCTGCGTTTTCTCATGTTTTCTCTTTTGGCAGTTCAACAGCTCCCGAGATTCACTTAACGGCCTTGCTGAAACAGAAGTTGTTTTGGCTTTATTGTGTCGCCTACAAGAGATCTTTGCTGGGCAATTTGGTGGCCCCCACCCGTGGCACAAGAGTTGTTTCTGCAGCAGGAATGTCCATACTTCAGGTTGCAGCCAGTTGTTTGCTCAGAGAGTGAAAGTGCGAGACTCTTATCAACATGCCTTCCGAGAGTGTCGTCATTGGCGGGTAGGGGGGCAGTTAGTTGTTGTGTTCTTGCGTTGCTAACTTGAAGGCCAGCTGGTTTTGACATGGTCAAATATGATTAAATATATTCAAACATGAAATATTTGTTCAGTCCGTTTGTTTTTTTTGATCTTATTTTATCCGTTGAATTTATTCATTGCAACTTGATGTTCCGACAAAGTTGTATGTTTAACGCCTCACAGCTGTAGCTTTAACGCCTCGGCGCTTTTGGTGGAGGCGGATTTGCATCTCAAAGGATGGATTTGAAGATTTCTGTGTTTTTGTCTAATATCCAGTCTAGTCTAGCCGTTTAGCCCTGCCTAGCACAGCTTTACAACCTGCGCTGGCGGTCGATTGTATTGCTTGATATTGCTTGAATGTCTCAGCTTAAAAGTTGAGGTGGTGCATTTGGCCAAAGAGAGTGGCAAATGTGTATAACTGTATAACTTTATTGTTTGCAAGTTGTTCGTTGTGGTGTTGGCATTGCATTCAATAGCATCGCCTGCAACTTCTGGCGATAGAAAGGGTGCTCGCAGCGAGCAAATTGTTTGTGCGCTGCACCGTGAAGCCCCACTGTCACTGTGATGTAGTGGTTTTGTAGGTAGGCAAAAACCGATGGCACACTCTGTTTTGTGACACTATTGAAATTGGTGATTGTTGTTGATTGGCATGTGCAAAGTTTTGGTGCCTGCCATTTTCAGGATGTTTTTGACCACCTTGATGGCATGATGACGTTCTACAACTGGGTGGTTCACGAGCAGACCGTCAGGACATGGTTCCTGAACAATGGTTTTGCGGACTATTGGAAGGCAATTTTGCACGGACAAAGATGTGTCACTGTATATTTGACATGAAAACAAACAATTTGTCTCCAGTGTGCAGGTGTGGAACTACAAATACCTCGGGAGGACCGTTGGCTTTATTCCTGGGTTTGCTCGTTGGTACCAGCACGCACACGCAGGTGATTTGCACTTTCATCATAATTATTCCATCAGACCTGTTGAAAAAGCAAATCGGATGTCAAATGTAACACCGCTGGCACATGCAAGGAAACGGGCGGTGTTGGATCCAGTACGTGACGACTTCGGCGTTCTGTTGACCGACAATATTGGTGAATCTGTGGAAGAAGGCTGTTATTTTGAGCTCGTGATCACGCTTGTGGTAGGGCAGTCGAGCTTCGCTTTACTGTCGCTGCTTAAGGCAGGAATTACCCCATTGTCGGCTAGTGCAGCACGAAGCTTCTTGCAGCAACTGAAGAAGTTTCGCGGCAGCATATATATGACTTGCTTGTTTGATTACATAAGTGTTGGTAGGATTAGAACGGATTAGATACAATATGTGTATATCTCATATGATGATATATGATGTATAGTGTTTTGCTTTCACCTCTTCGACGCCCGCCTCTTTAGAGCTTTAATGGTGAGTTCTGAAGCATCCCTCATGTCGAATTCTGAGTATATAAATATATGTTTGACATGCATTCTTCCATCCAACACCTATCTTCGGAGAGCTGGACATTGCACAACTGTTTACAGTTGTGGGATTTTTGGTAAACTATTCTTTTCATGAAAATGGTTGCTTCATCAAGCCTTTTGGTGCCAAACCGCCTATGCAGAATCATAATAGCTCAATTTCTCAATAGTTCATGCATTCCATGGTGTTGAATCCAGATCAAAGTGCCCAGGGTTCAACACTTCTTGAAATGATTGTTTGTCTCCATCATCATGAAGTGTTGCTATTTGATTTGATGCCTCCTTACCTAATAGCAAAAGACATTCTTGATGATGCAAGGCCCCTAAAGGAGCCTCCCTTTGCACAGGGTTAAGCATTAATATAAAGGAACGTGTCCCTTGTTTCAGCTTTAGATAACCTTGTTTGTTCGTTTCCCAAATATCTTTAATTTCGCTGGTTTCTTCTTAATGTCTTCTTAATAAAGGAATCGTTGTATGTAAACATGAACAATCTATTGCAAAAGTCCCATCCTTTGGCAACATCTCATAACCTCATCCTCACAAAAACGGTTTTCCTTGCAAATAATGGTTTTCTTTCTAAGCATCTCACTATTTACCAGGCTTCTTTCCTATATGAGGGCCTCTAAATGTTCTGTCATGCCTTTCTCGAATTTCTTTACAAAAGGTATTCCTTCAGAGAAAGCAACACCAAAGTCAGAGGGTTTACGGTTAGATGACACAACTAGACGAAACAGTTGATTTCAGGCAGGAGCCACTCAGCAGAATGTCTAGATGTACCTAGATGTTTTGTGGATCCAATATCAATGCTTCTCTCAGAGAGTGCTGAGGAATATTGGATTGGATCCAGGAAATATATGAAGTCACTTGATACATCTAGAAAAGTCCAAATCACAATCTCCTTTCCTCACGGGGCTGACTCTCAAATCTCAAATTGAGGTCATTGAGATTGTGCAGACTGAAATTTTTGTGTAGTCATTGAAAGTAGAAAGTAGCAATTTTGAATGTGATATGCGTATGGTGCCTGTGCCCGTAAAATCACCTTCAAGAATAGGCAGTCCATTGAAAGCATTGCAAGTACTTATGTATGCCTATATTTTATATTTATACAATTCCCCAAACAGTTTACTGTTGGGGTTCTCTCTTAGGAAAAAAAAGGAGCTGGCCACACTGGCTGGCCGCGCCCCTGAACTCTGCGTCCGAGCTTTGTGTTTGGATTTTGTCTGCTGTTGTCCTCTGGCCGCGCTGGCCAACCCTGTGTCCTCCTGCTCCTCTTGTCCTCCTCGTGTCCTTCTCTTGTCCTCCTCGTGTCTTCGTCTTGTCCTTCTCTTGTCCTCCTCTTGTCATTCTCTTGTCCTCCTCTTGTCCTCCTCGTGTCTTCGTCTTGTCCTTCTCTTGTCCTCCTCTTGTCCTCCTCTTGTCCTCCTCGTGTCCTTCTCTTGTCCTCCTCGTGTCTTCGTCTTGTCCTTCT